TAACTTGACTTTACATAAGTATATTTCTCTACTAATTACCTATAATTGAGATAATAATCCATGAGATGAATGAATATTTTGAAAACTCCACACAGTCCCTCGAAATCCATGTTTTGTAGTAGAAATCCATGTTTTGTAGTAGAAATCTATGTTTTGTAGTAGAAATCTATGTTTTGTAGTACAAACTCATTTGATACTTTGTGTACCACAGCAAGATCTTTATGAAGGTGCTAGTAGTTCTTCAAAGACTAAGAGATCTTTAATCAGATGTTATCTTCTACAGCCAATTCTCTTTCTAGTCTAATTTTACCATGTTCATTATAAAAAGAATGGTAATATAACTGTGGGGATAAATATGCAACTTGAAGTCGATTTGCTTGAAGTAAAAAGCCCTGATTTAACCCTTCTTAGTGATATGATTTTGCCTACATTACGTTTCTCTGTCTCTAAGTTATCTATAAATTGAGAATCAATGCTTATCATAATCAGAAGATCACTCATCTATTCACTGAATATTTATGCAACACATGTTATAATTCATGTATATTGTGTACTTGAGATACAGAAACGGAAAAGGAGGCAAAAACCTTGCCTCATGGAAACACATATTCATCATTTCTAGTGTGCTAATCATTGTTTTAAGGATCCCTAGTGGTGCTGTGGAGTATTACTACTAACTACAAGGTTGGTGGTTCAAACCCCCAGCTCCTTTGTCAAAGAAAGAAGAAATAATAAGTTCCCTTAAAGATATCTAGATAGGAAACCCCATACAGATTTGCTTTGAGATGGAATTGATTCAATTGCAGTGGGTTAATTGTTAATCGTTAACATAAACTCATTTCATATATTAACTTATTTAATTTTGGCAACCACTTCATGGGGAAGTTGTAACTTGAGCATATGATAAATTAATGACAAAATATGTGAGGAACTTCCTTAAGATAGCACTGATTAAGTAAAGTAATAAAGGCATAGGCCTTAGACCAATGCCTAGCATATATGAAGCAGGCAATGAACAAAGTTTTTATCTATGGTTTTCATATGTATATATCAATATAAGCATGCATATAAATATAGATCTACATACACATATAAGTATACATAAATATACCTACATATCCATTTAAGCAAGGGAGCTTCCAAAAGCCTGTGGGAAAATTCAGTGTCTTCTTTTTTTTAACTTTATTTATTATTTAAAATATGTTTTTACCAACAGTTTTATTGTCACATAATTAACATATCATGCAACTGAATAGTTCAATCATTCAATCATATCAAGGGGAACTGTATAATCAGCAACATGCATTATCTTCTTATTCTATTTTCCATGAACTTTTTGAAGCCCCCTCATATATATACATATATATATACTGAGTCCATGTGAAATAAAAGATGAGAAGCTGTAAAAAAGAACTAAACAAACACACAAACATAAGTTATTTATTATTGTAATGATGTATCCACACACATATATGTTCATAATCACAAATGTAACAGGATTAAAGTAATAGAGAACTATATGAGTAAGAATTGAATCCCTGCAATATTCTTCCTTATCACTAAAAGTTTGCTACTAGGGTATAAGGGAAATTAAATTCTATATTGTAATAAGCCAACAATTCTAGTTACAATCAATTATCATCTAGGAAGGCATACTAAGGTGATTTCTAATATCAAAGGAAATCATCCAATAGTTAAGAAATATGTTGCAGAAGGAACAGTATAAGGAATATCTAAGCAATACCATATTTTACATTTTTTTCATTCACCTTCCCTTAAGGAGAGTAAAGTGACTAATCTGAAAATGCTCAGATAGTGCAGAAGAGACAGACAACCCTTTTCTGCCCTGATTGGATTGACTGCCAACCAATGATGGGCCTGACGTATACATAGTAGTTATTTAGGGTAACAACATACTTTAGGGCATATGCTCATTTTTATGTATGAGAAATCACAATGATAATTCTCCTGGAAATAGGAAATATCCCCAGCTGCATTTATTGCATTTCAAATCAATGTTGTTTGAGAACCTGACTCCAAATTTTCTTTCTTTTTTGGGGGGTTCAGCCCAACTAAAGATATATAAATCCCATTTATAGAAACTAGTGGTTTCATCTTGAAGTTACCTTGAAAATAGTTTTTGTAACATAATTAACTTATAAAACATCAAAACACAGTCCTTCAAACACTGACTATGTATATTTAAATTAAACTCTTGCTAAAGAACTATAAATTAAACTTTAAAGTGTGGTCTTCTCAGGTGAAATAATACTTAATAGCAGCCATACGGACTAAAATAGTTTGTGTATAAATGTGAACTATTATATTCCAGGTGGCATTTTATGGGAAGAATGCCATTTGGGGCATCCTTTGTAACAAAGTATGTGGTTACATGGTGTGTAAAGTAAAGAGTGTGCATGTTATGAATTCAATTGTGCTCCTGATACATGCATTATAAATCCTATGCGTGTGGATGTAATCCCATTTGGGAATTGGGCTTTTGTTTTATTAATAAGGCCATATTAGTGTAGTGTATATTTAAGCCAATTACTATTGAGAAACGAAAGGACCAGATTAGGCAGGGACACAAACACAAATGGGAAAACGATTGGTGCCATGTGAAGAACATGCATGATGAGGAGGAAGAGACACTGAGAGTCACAAATGTTCCTCTTAGAGCAAACACGATCTTTTCAAAGAGCCAGTGTCATGATTTTGGATTAGTCATGTAGTCTTCTACACATTGGGCTGCTAAGCACAAGGTCAGCAGTTTGAAACTACCAGCCACTCTGCAGGACAACGATGAAGCTTTCTACTCTCACAAAAAGGGTGACAGTCTCTGAAACCCACAGGAGACGTTCTAATCTGTTCTAAATAAAGTTCCTATAAATCAGAATGAACTTGATGGCAGGGAGATTTTTGCTGTGAAATTAAACTCTTCTTAGAGCCACTCACAGGTGACACTTAGGTTATAGCCGCAGCAGATAAAGTCAGTATTTGGTACCAAAGAAGGATCAAAACCTAAAATGCAAACATGCTTTTAAAAAATAATTTAGTACAGTTTTATTACATATCTTTTATTGTATTTTCCAAGTCATTAACATTATTTGAAAACATGATTTTTTTCTTTCATTTTGTTTATTTATTTTGTTAAGATCATTTTTGATCTCTTATTGGGGCTCTTACAATTCTTAATACATCAATAGTATCAGGCATATTTGTACATATGTTGCCATCTTTCCTTTCTAGACATTTACTTTCTATTGGGCCCTTGGTATCAGCTCCTCTTTTTTCCCTCCCCCTCCCACTTTGTGACCCCTTGATAGATGATAGATATTATTATTATCATATCTCACACCAACTGCTGTCTCCTTTCCCCCATGGTTTCTGTTATTCTTACCCCCTCCAGGCGTGTGTGTGGTTATATGTCTATCATTATGATTGGTTCCCCCATCCTTCCCTCCTCTCCCCCCACCATCCACCTGCCATTCTAGTATTGCTATTCCCATTTCTGTTCCTGGACTCCATTTGTCATGAACTCTTATCTCTTATCTGTACCTGTGTACATGCTCTGGTCTAGTCCAAAGTGAGAAGCAGCACTGTGGTCATGATGGTAGCAGGGGTGGGGGCAGGATGGCGAGGAAGCCTCAAGAGACCAGAGGACTATTGTGTGTTTCATCGGCACTTTACTGCACTCTCGTTGCTTCATCTCTTCCCTGTGACACCTCTGTGGGGGGATGTTCCGTTGTCTACAGATAGGTTTTGGGTCTCTGCTCCGATCCTCCTCCTTCTCAACAATATGTTTTTGTTTGTTAGTTTGTTATTGGTCTTCTGATGCCTGTTACCCAGTCCCAATGACACCTCATGATTGCTTCTTCCATGTGGGCTTGCTGCTTCCCTGCTGGATGGCTACTTGTTTAACTTCAAGTGTTTAAGACACCACATGCTGTATCTTTTGATACCGGGCACCATCTACTTTCTTCAGCCTAGATGCTTGTGCACCCATTTTGTCTTCAGTGATTGTGCTCGGAAGGGCGAGCATCAGAAAATCCCATTTTGTTAGAACCAAGTGTTCCTGTATTGAGGGATGGTATAAGCAGAGGTCCGAAGTCCATCCACTACCTCAGTTTATTGCCATATAAATATATGTACAAAGGCCAATACTGTACCTCTATTTTTATGGATTAATGTATTTACATATGTACACATCTATGCTTATACCTCTATCCATAGCTTTGCTTTGTAGATCCTTCTTCTGTTTCCTTTTACCTTCCTCCTGCTGAACCATCATCTTCCCCCTACTTCTGCCTCTTATACTTTCTCTCAGATAGAGTGCTGTTGTGCCAGCACCCCTAGGATTTCTACATCCTCCTGGTTATTGATTTTAATTCCCTAGTTGTTCCTCGGTCTCTGGTGGTCTATGGTATTGTTTGCTCATCACACCCTTCCTCCACTTCCTTCTTCCCCCACAAGTCCTGCTGCGACCATCAGTCCAATTTCTATCTCCTTGAGTTTGTTTCCCATGCCTTTCTTATATAAATAGGCAAACCAACAATGACATAGGCCAAACAAAAAAGAAAACCAAAGATTAAAAAAGAAAAGGAAAAACAAGAGAGAGAGAGAGAGAAAACATACATAATTCTAGGTCTGTCCACGAACTTTTATGACTATCTCCCCCACTGGTCCTGGGGGAATTCCGGGAGCTACCCCTCCATGCCTGAAGTCTTTGGGGGGGGGATGGGACTCTTTAGGGACTTTGTGGCTTGGCTTTTCTCTAGTTGCTGATCTGTTATGTTCCCTTCTTGGTTTTCCCTGCTCCGGGGCATTCAAACCACACTACCTCCCCGCCATGTGTCCCCAGTATTGTCCTCTGTTGCAGTATGCTCCAGTAGGCGGAAAACATATCATAAACTGTTGTGGGCCCTACAGTCTCTTTGCCTTACCAGCTCAGTGCATAGAAGTCATCCTCCTGGATTGGTGTGCCAATATGGGGGTCTAGAGCAAGCATCCCTTTCTCTTTTTCCTATTGGAACAATACAGAGAAGATGAGCAAGTCCCCTGTGCATAACTGTTTTAGAAATTGGTAATGGGTACAATGTATAAGAATTTTTATTTATTTCATAGAAAGGCCCCAGATTGTCTTAAGGAAACTATTGTTAGAGTTATAGACATTAAAAGTGACTCTCATGTGGCCTCAGAGAGTCAGGAGTGTGGGGAAAGTCTTCTACTGTCGTGACCAGAATGCTTTGATAGACTTGAATATTCAATGTGCTTTTGGTAAAGAAATGTGACTAAACAATGGAAGAAGGGCAAGTGTTTTTTAGGCAGTGGCAAAGAACTTGCTGAATGTTTGGTGGAATGTTGAAATATTAAATGCTGTCCTTTTCTAAGTTAGATCTTACAGGAACCACATAGCTTCATAGTTTCTGCTTGCTACCTATAGCAATATGAGCAAAGAAGAGTTAGAATGTGCAAAATGAAAACAGTACTTAAAGATTTGAAATTTTCTATTATACAAATTAAGGGCACCTGCTCTAGAATTTTTGCCAAGGGATTGAGGACATAATATTTTGTGAAGGATATTAGCCCTGTGACTGATGGATATAATCGACTACCAAAGCAGAAAACCCATCAGTTCCAATCGCAGGGAACAGGGATAGGACAAAATGAAAGAAAACTGTTACCTTTTCAAATTCTACAAATTGAAAAAAAGCAGGAGCTACTTGGTTACAAACACCTGTTGTTCTCAAAGGAAAGGAAAAAAAAAATCACCCCAAGCTGTTCAGAGCAAGGGAATTTGAGCTGTCTTGGTTTTAAATGGTGATGCCAAGACCCCTTAGGTTTTGAACTTGCTTATTGTCAATGTAAAGAAGACCAAAATCCTCACAACTGGACCAATAGGTAAAATCATGTTAAATGGAAAAAAGGTCAAAGATTGCCTTGGGCTTTTTCTTGCTTGGATCCAGTGTTCATGGAGGGATTTTGTCTTGCTTAGAACCACAATCATTGCTCAGGGAAGCAGCAGTAAAGAGGTCAGTTTGGTACCATCAACACTGTATTGGATACATTTACTGCACAAGACTGCTTTAGAGTAGCAATGTTGTTACTCTGAGGGCTAAGGTGCACCTGACTGAGACCATGGTACTTCAATCGCTTCATATGCATGTGAAGGTTGGACCTTGAATAAAAAGGACCAAAGAAGAATTGATGCATTTCAGAAGACTGAAAGTACAATGGATTGCTAAAAGGAAGACCCAGTCTGTAATATTTTGCCTACCCTGGTGCTTGGAAAACAGATAACACTTTTCAATGATTCACATGTACACTATTGAGAAAATTTGACCTGGAAGGGAAATTTACTCACATTCTTATCTATATTTGCTTAAAATACTTCAAAAATGAGACATTGGACTTGAAGTTGATTTAAGAATTTTGGGATGATATGGTAGGGTAATTGTATTTTGTATGTTGAGAGGATATGAATTTAAAGCATTAAAAGGGGTCTGTTAGTTTAGTGGGTTACAAGTTTGGGCTTCTAACCACAAGGCCGGCAGTTCAAAACTACCAGCTGCTCTGCAAGAGAAGGATGAGGCCTTATACTCCGGCAAAGATGGACAGTTTTGGGAACACACAGGAGCAATCTACTAGTCCCAAAAGCCACTGAGCGTCACAATCAAGTTTTTGGCAATGAGTTATGAGTGAGTTAAAGATGGCATGTTATTGAATTGTACCCCCCTATATTATGTATTGGAATCTTAACACCAATATGCGTGAAGTGATTGCTATCTAAGAATAGAGTTTTCTTGGTTCTATTAATGTAATGATGTCAGTATATGGTGTGTCTTCAATCACTTTTGAGATTTAAAAGGAGCAGAGTAGGCACACATAAAATACAAATACAAGAGGATCTCTTATAGCCTATATAGAGATGCTAAGAAATCAAGCAACAGAAGTAGAAGAAAGACAAAGTTCTTTATCCAAAGTCTACACAGAGAATAAAAGCTTCCCCTAGAAAGACTGACTTGAATTCAGAGTTCTAGCTTCAAACTCTGAGAAAATCAACTTCTGTTCATTACACTACTGACACTCTGTGTCTCCAAGACCTTAATAGAGTTGCACCTGTAGACTAGATAAGAGAAGTGTCCGATGGACAGGAAATAGATGAATTAGGGGCGGGGTGGGGGGGACATCAGGGTATTCTGGCAAGGAATAAAGGATCGACAAAACCACAGATTCTAGAATTGACTAACAGATCAAGAAAGCCCGAGTTTTGTCACAAGTAAGCAAGCTGGACTTGGGTTTAAGAGTACAAAGTCACAGAAAAATTAGCAAAATTGACCTCTGTTCATTGATTCATCTAGAGTCATGTAGCTGTTTACTGGGGAAGAATCATCTGGAGTCTGAGGTGGGAGTTAAAGAACTTTAGCTTCAAAGAGCAGAGTGATACAGGGACAAATAAGTAAATGCAATACTCAGCACGGTTACCCCTTCAACTTTGTTTAATATCTTTCTGCGTCGCTGACTTTGGCTTCTTCCTTGAAGCACTCAGGGTCTCCCCCAAACCCAGAAGAAATAGGGCAATTACTGGGTCTAATATATTCTTTGTCTTAAAAAGATAGCATGCACAGAGGCTCTGTATTAATAGATAATCCTAGATCAACAAATTTTATTTACTCACATAATATGTAATTGGTAACTTCTTGCCTTTTTTAGTGTAAAAGTAGAATAATAAAATTGCAAAATTTGGAGCACAATTCATTCAGGTGTAGTTCAGATAATACTGGAAATTCCTTTGTGGATATTCAAAAATTCTATATTTCGATATATCTATATGACATGGTCTTAATTTTGTCTAGTTTCTCAGATTATGCTCAGTATACAGGTTGAATAAGTATGGTGAAAGAACACAACCCTGTCACACAGATTTCTTGACATTAAACAGCTCAAAATTCCCCTCTTCAGTTTGAATGACTGATTCTTGTTCCATGCAGAGGTGTCAAAGGAGCACAAATGTTAGTGACTTCCCAGCCATCTCAATGCTATCCATAGTTTGTTATGATCCACAGAAGTGAATTATTTTGCATAATGAAGAACCAGGAAATAAACATCATTCTGGTATACTTTCCTTTCAGCCAAGATCCAGCTGACATCAGCAATGATAGCTCTCACTCCAAATCCTCTTCTGAATGCGATTCGAATTTCTAGCGGCTACCTATGGATTTTCTGCTGCAGAGATCTTGAATGATCTTCGGCCAAACTTTATGTGGATGTGACGTTAACAATATTTACAATAATGTCTGTGTTCTGTTGGGTCACCTTACTTTGGCATGGGTATAAATATGGATCTCTTCTGTCAGTTGGCCAGGTTTTCCAGATTTCTTGGCAGAGATGGATCAGCGCATGCAGTGTTTCATGAATTTGTTGAAAGATTTCTATGGATCATCCATCAATTTCTGCAGTCTTATTTTCCACTAACGTCTTCAATGCAGCTTGGATGGCGTCCTTCAGTACCATTGTTTTTTGATCAGATGCTACTTCTTGAAATGATTGAATGTACACCAGTTCTTTTTGGTATAGGGACTTTGCATATTCATTCCAATCCATTTTTTTACTGATTCCTGCATAGAATCCCATAGACTCTTCCAATATTGTAACTCCAGGCTTAAATTTTTGTTCAGTTTTTTCAGCTTAAGATATACCGAACCTGGGTCAGATGTGCCTCCATTCTCCATCCTTCCTTATCTACTTAGAAAAGATAAATGACTTGGTCCTCCCAAGTCATTCTTCGTCTATGCTGGGTTCACTAGTCAGTTGCAATGGCCACACAATACTCATGGACAATGTTCACAGTAAAGAGGGCTTATTAGGGAAGTCAATAGGTTATAATTCAGGATCAGCAAACAGTATGGATACAGTCATTGGTTTCTTCCAACAGCAGCCAAGTCTCTCTCTGGTACATAGGTACCAGAGGTACCTCTTAGCTATGAGGTAGCCAAGCCAAGCCAAGCCAAAAAAAAAGAGAATGAAATAGAAATAGATTTACACATATATTTGAGAATGATCTAGGACTAAGCAATGTTTGATTCGTTTGTGCATTAGGGAACTACGAATTGGAATAGACACTGTCACACCTAGCAACAATAACATATGTGCCCATTTTGTTGCAGAAGATGAACCACATAACTTCAGTATTCTTATTACAGTATACAATTTTAATTGCTCTTAAGTAAGGGTGTTTATAATTCTCAATGTTTTAAAATTTCTTACACTTCACTACTTTTTTCATCCATTATTATATTTGTTCATAAATTTAACAGATAGTTTTGTATACTTGCATTATTTTAGGTACTGAATATTCCAAAATGAATCAGATATAGTGTCTTCCTTCCAACTATTTAAAAGAAAAATAAGCAGAATACACATTTACTAAATACTTTGGAATCACCTAAAATTAAGTCTTTCTAGATCTGTATGTTAAGATTTCCCACATAGTATACTGCTAACCTAAAATATGCCAATTCAATTCCACCCACAGACTCTTCTGAAAGACATTTGGTAATACTCATACTCCCTACGAATAAGAACAAAGAAAAACAGCCATTGATAACCCTATGGGGTAGAGTTCTTGTCTGGCACACAGTGGGTAACCAGGAGTGAGAATGCACTGCATGACAACTATAGATCTGTGTAGAAGGTTGTCCAGATAAGCAGGAAGAAAATCAAAATAATTGGCTTAATGACTTAAGCCAAGAGAAAATTACTTGGATTTTAATCCAGATACTATTATGTAAAATGTTATTTCTAGTTAGCATATTTTATATCAATAACTATTTTGTTATTCAAACAGGTAAAATACTGAATATGTATAAACAACAAGAACAAAAACTGTACCCATGGCCCCTGAGTTAATACCAACTCATATTGGCCCTATATAAAATTTCAAAGGCTATAAATCTATGAGAACAAATAGTCTCTCATTTCTCTGAGGAGCTGCTAATGGGTTTGAACTGCTGACTTTGTGGTTAGTAGTCCAACACTTAGCTGACAGCATTAGCAGGGCACCTTTATCTACCAGAGTTCTAAACACATGCAAATATTTTCAG